CCGCGCTTCCGCAGCCGGATTCGATTCGGCAACCAACACATGACACAACCACTTTACGGGTTGACACAACACGACGTGAAAATGACATGTAAACCCGAAATTGACACGAAAATTGTACTTTTATTTAATTCTTTACATATTAGAAATAACTTAAAATTCATAACACACTAAATTACAATAACATCCATTGAAATTACGCAAATAATAGTATAAGATTTTGAGTATAACTATCATGATATCACAAGTTCATAATAAAATAAAAAATTATAATTGAAAAATATATGTATTTTTTAGTTTTTTACGAGTTTCGTGTCGTGTCGGATTAGGCGGGTCCAACCCGAAATTGACCCGTATTTTTCGTGTTAATATCAGGTCGACCCAATTCTAACCCGAACATCTTTTTTCTCAACCCAAACCCGCAAATTCGTGTCGCTTTCGATTCGTATTGTCGTGTCGTGACCTATATTGCCGGCCCTAGTCAGATAAATGTAAGAAATAAAGTCATGTATGATTTATTTTTAACTCTTTTTATTACTCATTTATCATTTAATTAATCTTTTATTTTAATTATAATTTAACTAAAATAAAATTAAAATATTGAGTGGACATAAATGCACGTGCCTTTGCATGTGCAGTTTTTGCTGATACTTTTGTTAAGGGCCTAATCCTATTTTCTAAGGGGTTGGTTAGTTAGGGGATTCATACCCTAATTTGAATCATGATTCATGGTTCGTTACAGTATTTTTTCTCATAAAAAATACACATAAATTAAAAATAATTTTAATCTCATAATTCTAATCCATGAACCAAACAGTTCCTAAATTTTTTCATACGGGATTTCTGATCGGGTCAAAACCGAGTCCACCTGAATCAGTCAGGCGGGTCCCAAGAATTGGCCTAAACCGCTAAAGTCTGTTTGCTTTGTTTTTCAGGAAAAATAAAATAAAAACGTTTGAAAAAAAAAAAAAAAGAAGAGAGAGAGAGAACTGTTGCCGGGTCTCTGTATCGTGGAACGCATCGTCATGGCGTAAAGTCCACCGCGTCCGTCTTCCGAGTCTTCTCGTCGGAGCTCAGTTCAATACAATAACTCAATTGAAGGAAAAATGGGTTCCAGCTTTCTCATATTGCTTCTGCTGCTTCTTCTTCTTCTTCTCAATCTGCTCTTACCCTTTTCGTCTGGTAATTAAATCTCTCTCTAGATTGATTTATGTTTAATGGGGTTTTCTGTCTCTCTTGGACCGTGGATTTCTAGTTTGGAAACTCCCATGTGTTCTTTCCTTTTGCTTTGTTCCATGCTTGTGTAGAAAGTTACATATTTCTTTCATATTTCCTTTTGTTTTTGTTGTTTCTTCTCCCCATAATCAAGTTTTGTTCTTTGAGGTTTTTTTGCAAGTCATTTTGTAATTTGTTATGTTTCTTGGAGTCAAGAGCACAAAACTGGAATTGGGTAGTTGGGAATTTGTATTCAATCGTGATTTTTGGTTTATAGTTTTTTTTAATGTGTACTTTAAATAAGATATGTAATGCAACTAGCGGTTCATACAACTTGGACTCTATGAAGATTGAATTTTCAAGAATTGGAATTATATATCTTCAGTCTCATGTTTGTTTCTTTTGCCAAAGAGGTTACAATTTGCTTTAAAATAGGTTCGGTTGAATACACCAAGTAAAAGACGAAAAGCATAAAAGTTCATACTGGCGTATAGATAAGATTTTGTTGAGAATTTTCCATAGGGATGAAATGGACGATTTGATGGTATTGTTCCGGTTAGGTAAGTGTTGCAAACAGTCCCTTTAATCATTGCATAAATGAAAAGGGGTTGCTGATACTATTTTGTTACTCTCATAATTCAATTTTTTTGGTCATTAAGACTTTAGATCTATTTCAATGTAGGTAAATCAGATGGACTCTGTATTTCACAAGGTGGTCGGTTTCCACCATTCTCATCCCAAGGGAAGCCTCCAAAAAGGGTAAGCAAGGGATCAAAAGATTTGACCCTTTGCAGGGTGTTCTGCCGAAAAACTTGCTGCGATGCAGCTCAGACACATCCTGCTTTGTTAACCATTAGGAAGCTAGCTTCAACAGGAGAAGCCAGTCAAGAATGCTTGCAATTGTGGGAGCTATTGGAGTGTTCAATCTGTGATCCACGTGTTGGTGTTCAGCCAGGACCTCCTTTAATATGCACCTCTTTCTGCGACAGAGTCTTTGGGGCATGCTCTGATGCTTACTTCTCCATGGAGACTGTGACACAGGTGTGTATATAAGCCCTCAAATACTAGACCATATGATTTATTCCAAGGGTATAAATATATGTCTAAAGAAAAAAAAAAGTTTGTCTCCGGTCATGTCGAGGGGATGGGAGGGTTTATGGGGGCTTACTTTATCTTGTGCTACAACGATATATTTATGAGGTACTCCATATCTCGTTATGGTTTCATTAGCAACTTAAGGATTCTTTCATCCTTTGTCAGCGTTTTCCGGCTGTGGCAGTGATTTTGTGTACCTTTTAGTGATGAAACAATTGAGCTGGTACACTGTTTTTTTCGTGTAGGCTTGATAAAACCCTGTTTTTGATTAAGAGTTTGCCTTCCAGGTTCTAGCACCATGTGGAGTAAACGATTTGGTTTGTGGTAGGGCTTCACAGTGGGTTCACAACGGTACAGAGCTGTGTCACGCTGCAGGTTTTGCAGTTAAAGATGATGCACATGTTGAAGAAAAATCATGCTATGGTAGTAAAGCCAGTCTTGATTTGATTGCTGATTCGTGGAAAGCTTCACGGTCTGTGGTGCTGCAGAAAGGTGGTGGCTTGGGTGTGTTGGATGACTTTCAGCAGTGGGCGGCGGAAATGTCGTTTAGTGAAAGAGTTTCATGGGCAGTCGGAGGGATGGTTCTTACGGCAGGATTGTTGTTTCTGAGGTTAGATACTTTTCCCCTGCCACCTTTACATGTTTTCTATTTTTTTTTCTCTTTTGTACTAATTTGAGGCGTTTACAAGTTTGTTTTCTTCTCAAAGCACAATTGGTGCTCTTTCGTTTTTGTTCTGCTGCTCTTTGCATGATAAACAAATTTTTTTTTTCTTTAGCGAGATGATTATTTCATTGTCTTTATTTCTTATGCAACTATGATAAGGCATTATAGTGGAGTGCAATGAAAATGGAATTCAAATTATACGTCTATGTAATTTGAGTATGTTACATCTAGCACCATGTGGAGTAAACGATTTCGTTTGTGGTAGGGCTTCACAGTGGGTTCACAACGGTACAGAGCTGTGTCACGCTGCAGGTTTAGCAGTTAAAGATGATGCACATGTTGAAGAAAAATCATGCTATGGTAGTAAAGCCAGTCTTGATTTGATTGCTGATTCGTGGAAAGCTTCACGGTCTGTGGTGCTGCAGAAAGGTGGTGGCTTGGGGGTGTTGGATGACTTTCAGCAGTGGGCGGCGGAAATGCCGTTTAGTGAAAGAGTTTCATGGGCAGTCGGAGGGATGGTTCTTACGGCAGGATTGTTGTTTCTGAGGTTAGATACTTTTCCCCTGCCACCTTTACATGTTTTCTATTTTTTTTTCTCTTTTGTACTAATTTGAGGCGTTTACAAGTTTGTTTTCTTCTCAAAGCACAATTGGTGCTCTTTCGTTTTTGTTCTGCTGCTCTTTGCATGATAAACAAATTTTTTTTTTCTTTAGCGAGATGATTATTTCATTGTCTTTATTTCTTATGCGACTATGATAAGGCATTATAGTGGAGTGCAATGAAAATGGAATTCAAATTATACGTCTATGTAATTTGAGTATGTTACAAAATTTATTTATCAACTATTGCAGCAAACGGAAAAGCTACAGTCAGCGTCAGAAGCTTGCCGGTATTCAGCGGACTGCGAAGAAACTAGAAACCAAGAAGAGCCAGAAATCTCCTGGCAATCAAGGAAATAAGAAGGGAAGATGATGATCTCGTGTTAGGTGAGCGTAATTAGTTTGTCAATTTACAGGTGAATCATAGTTGAATTGTTGTAAAATTAAAACTTTTCTTGCTCTTGTACTATTTTATTAGAAGTAGACTTGTATTAGCAGACAGTGTTTATCCAATATTTTGGATTCATGAGTTTCAATTTTGAAAATTACAATCTGGAGTTTCTCTTCTGTCTGATTTGCTTCTAGTTGATTTAAAAAGTTTACTATCATTAGCATGATGCACCAACTTGTCCAGAACTCTGGATCCATAGAATTTGTCCAGTTTATTCATTCTTCAGTACCGAGTTATATGCTCTTGGTTAAATGCTGTTATCATATTAATTTTAGAATCTTAATTAGGAGTTTCCCTACCGGTAGTGAATCAAAATCATATAAAAAAGAAAAAGTGTGCAAAGCTGACAAATATTGATACATATCGAACAATTTGAAACAGAGCCTTACCGATAGTGTATTTTTTATACCTTACCATAAAATTATCATAACAATTAAGTCATATATATTGGAAGCCATTTTACAAGTGATCTGTCAACAAAATCAGTGAAATTACTCGTTGAAAAATGACAGAATACCATGGGGTGAAGGTTTAATTTTACACAAAACCAAAAGGTTGAATGCAAGCCTTCAATTTCTAAACTATACTCACAAATTGCACCTCTTGAGGTACAAACACAGCAAGTAACCTAATGCATATTTGGTTTACAAACTTCATAAAGAATTTCTGTGCAACTAAATCCGCAATTCCCAAGCTTCAATATCAATCGTGACGGTTAATAGACTTTGAGTGCGACAGCAGGGGGTCACTTTTTTTTTTTTTTCCTCAAGATCACTAGCTGTCTCTCCCATTCAACTGAAAGAAATACCTCAGAACTCTCCACATAAGAAGTTTCTGTATCATTAGATCTTTCCAGCTTTAGGAGGCTGGCCATGCAAAGATGGAAAAAGGGTCATCAGATTCATATGGAAAACATGTTGTGGGAGATAAGATAACCAAAAAAGAACAAAAGAAAAGAAGAGAATGATACCTTTTTGAGTTTTATTCTGGATGAGTTAGAACCACTAGATGATGCTTTATTGTCGATTGGTTTCAATATTTCGAAAGAACACACTAGACCTTCATCAACACTCAATAGAGCACCAGCATTGTCAAATTCCCCGCCATAGTTTGGAGCTGAAAAGATTGTGACTAATCTCCTTTTAGCAAAAAACTCATACCCATCTTCCACCACCTGCAGAAAAGAAAAATGAAAAAACTTTATTACTCCAACCCAAAAGATCAATCATTCTGACCAACAATGATTAACGCATATTTGCTTCACTTGCATTTTTCTATTGGATTACCTGGTGCCCTCTGCAAATGAGATCAAGGTCATTCTTCTCCAAGAGCTCAGCAACTTTGTCAGGTCCAAAGGTACACGAAACGCCTCGATCACTGTCTGCCCAGCCCTCAATTGAAGAGTCAGGATCAGACCAAAGAAGATCACAGAGAAGACCAGAATCTGGGATTTCAGTAGGTCTCGGAAGTTCCTTTATTTGATCCAGACGTTGCAGCTCGGGGGAGAGCCCTCCATGCATACAGAGTATCTTGTCGTCGATGAGCGCCGCCACGGGCAAGCAGTTGAAGCAGTTGGTAAAAATTTTCCAAAGTCTGACATTGAATCTCCTCTTACACTCATCATAGAACCCGTAAATCCGGTTGATCTTTGCGTCTTCGTGATTTCCCCTCAAGAGAAAGATTTTATCAGGATATCTTATTTTGTAGGCCAAGAGCAAACATATTGTCTCTAGACTTTGCTTGCCCCTATCCACATAGTCCCCAAGGAAGAGGTAGTTTGCAGCAGGAGGGTAGCCACCATATTCAAATAGCCTCAGCAGATCTTGGTATTGCCCATGTATATCACCTGCAAGAAAAGAAGCCTGAAATATTAGAATAAGCAAGAGTAGAAACTGAACTATGTTTTTTCCCCCCCTTCATTTTACAGATAATTTATGCCCTGTGATTTATGTGAAATGTAGGGATAAAAGCAAAATATAATGCCTTATGTCGCTGTAAAGATGCAAAGCCAATGACATCAAAGGACTAAAAGGCAATTAGGGGGCCAAGCAAAATCCAAGGAAGTAACTTTGTCACTCCACTTCTCTCATTTCCATGGTTCTAGAGTGTGTGATTGATAACAAAAGAATGCATCATATCAATATTGAGTAATCAACAGTGAGAACATCAGCTAAATAAACTAGTCCATAACACAAAAGAAGTTATACAATTCCTAAAATTTCCCTAAAAAGTACATCATTTAATATACCAGGAAACTCCACAAAATGAATCTCATCAATCAAGAACTAGCATAATATACGGACAAATGGACCTTTTGGCCACCCAAGTATCCACGACCCTACAAGGCTTAAATCATTCAAGAAGGATTGTATGTAACATGTAAAAATGAAGGCGTATCATGACAAATGTCATCCTATGTAAGAGCGACTTTGCAAGTGATAAAAACAAAGAATTTATCTATGACATACTAACACCACAATTTTGTATACTAATTTATCTATAATATTGTATGCAACATTATGACTTGGTACTTCGCCAAAACTGAAGACAAACCCTTAAATTTATTTTAAAAAAGCACCCCTTTATTCAACAGAACGAGGTCTAAACAACCATCCCGGCAACACATTTACTCTTAAAAGCTAACCATTCTGCTTTTGCAAATAAAACCCAGGTGGGGTTCCTCCAAAAGTTCATCAACAAACACCAATCAAAAAACCCATTTACCAATTCAAGTGACCTTCTTATCCAAGATCAATTCTTTCACACAAACATCTCTAGACAAAAAATATAATACAATTGAATCGTTCAATTCAATAGCAATATCATCATGGGGAAGAGAGAGAGAGAGAGAGCTGACCACAGATGCGAATAGGAGCGTGGAGTTGGAGGAGATTAGGCTGAGAAAGGAAGACTTGGCGAGCGTTGACGCAGAGTTGACGGATCTCTCCCTCTGAGAGCTTAACCTGTTTCCCTCCTCTTCCTTCTAAAAGCCTTCTTATCACGTCGTCCAATACCCCTTTATCCATCATCCCCTCCATTGTCATCATCATCATCTTTCCCCAATTCTTTCTTTCTTTCAACAAAGATAAAAAACCAAGACACAAAAAGATAAAAATAGCTCTTGTGAATCAGAAAGCCAAGTTCTTTCGGGTGTAGAAGAAAAATGGAGAGCAAAGAAAATAAAGTTCGTCAACAAAGACAAAAGGGTCGATTTATACGTTAGTATTTTTCTGGTGGATTGAAGGACCAAAAAAAAAAAAAAGGAAAAAGAGAGATCAAGAGGAAGAAAGAAATATCAGAGAATTGTTGAACAAGAGAAGAGAGAGAGAGAGAGAGAGAGAGAGAGAGAGAGAGAGAGAGAGAAGAAGGATTAGAAGCAAATTTGGGATATGGGTTGTCTCTCTCTCTCTCTCTTTTTTTTTTCTATGTACTTTTTTTTATTACTATTTTTTGTTTTTGTTTTATGAGTGGCAAGTAGATATGATATTGATTCAATGGGTTTGAAAGCTTCAAAGTCGGAGGACAAAAACAGAGACCGGCGCATGATAGCAGCACGGTACACGTGGGACGGTGTTTCTATTTTTATTTTTATTGTTTTGGGTGTGTGTAATTGTGGGTTGGTCTTGTCTTAAAAGATTGGTTTGGTTGGTTGTTTGTTTTGTTAGTTGGTCTCTAGTCATCAAAATTCTAGAATTTGCCTTCATACACACACAAGCAAAATCGGACAATTTGTTGGTCTTCCATTACTGTTAACGACCATCACTAACAAGTTGGTCTCATTAAATTAATTACTAACAATTATTTGGGCTTGGGCGGCTTACCTATTCATGATGTGCATCTGTTAATCGACCTGACAATGTGTTAATCATGTTTTAAGCACACAATCCGTATATTTATCACATGATTAAATGAGACACCTAATGTTATATATTTTAATTGATACATTTTTTAGTCAACTCTTAATAAAAAATTTCTTTAGTGTAAAAGTTTTTATAACATTTTCTTACAATTCAATGATGAGTAGTGTTCGGGGGCGTGAGCTCCGACGAAGCCCTTTGAGATGCCATGTTGGAGCTTGCGGAGTATTGACCATCTTTGTTTAATCATGTTTCATTTTGATGTCTTATTATGCCAAAAATATAATGAAATTTCACGAGTAAGAGTTTTATTTTCGATCGCCATATTCGTATTAAGTTTCCTTACTTTTGTAAAAAAAAATGATGAAATAAATATATGTGTGTGTTGTCCTACATAAAAAGTGAATGGAGATGTGAAATAATTTATATCCATGTAAGAATTTAAGACTTAATAGTTTAATCTTTTGAGTCAAGTTTTGCTCCTAAAGTGTATTGAGTCAGTTTCACATATGGTGTCTCCCCAACAAGTGGTACCAGAGTTGATGGTTCGTACTGGACCAAGCAATCACACTCGGTTGCAGTTTCAGATGCGGATGGTGTAACACCTTGAAGAATTAATTGAGATTGATTAAGGTAATTGAGATTATTAGCGTGCCTAATCTGATGTAATTAATTGAGTTTTAATTAATAAATGTTTTTGACGTGTGAGTTTAAATAGTTCTAAAGTATATAAATTATTCTTAGTAATTTATTTTAACTCATAAGTGTGTATGGGCGCATTTCTGGACTGTTGTTTTAAAATATTGTACACATGTCCTTTTCTTTTCCTTTTCTTTTTCTTTTCTTTTTCCTTTTCCTTTCCTTTTTCCTTTCCTTTCCCGTGCACCTCTCACTCTCTCTCTCACTCTCTCCCACTCTCTCGTGCTCTCTCTATCTCTCTCTCTCTCTCTCTCTCATTTTTGTCCCAAATCAAACGGATCTTGAACCAAGGAAAGATTTGAAGAAGTTTTCAACGTCAAGAGAAGGATTCGAGGTAAGATTACTGAAAGAATCTCCCTTGAATCTCAAGATTTTGAATTTCAAAACTTATTTTTAGTTCAAATCGGAATTTGATGGTTTTTGAGTAAAATTAGAGTAGAAATTGGATATCTTGGGTTCTTTGGACTTGTTTTAGGACCTAGAACCTAAATCTAGTGGTTTTCCTTTGAAATATCTCGATTTGGGACTGAGATTTGTAGGTTTTGGACTAGTTTCCGTGA